GACACAACATCTTTGTTTGTATGTGGTGCTGAGGATTGAACCCGGGCCGCACGCATGCCAGGCAAGCGCGCTACTGCTTGAGCCACATCCCCAGCCCCTTGGCGTGTTTCTTAACATTGTTTTTGAGATTCATCTATTTAAATATATATAAAGCTATTTTCCTTTTTATCTAATTAATATACTTTTATATGAAATTCCACAGTTATCTGTTATGTTGATATTTAGCTTATTTCCAGTTTCTGCTACTTTAAATTACACTGCTGTGAATAGTACTAAACTGCATGTTTCATTGTTGCACTTTTAAAAGAGCCTCTGGTATATACATGCATACACACTAATATAAGTGGAATTACTGGATTACAGGATATGCACATGTTCAGTTTAATAAGTACAAGTTGAGTGTTCCTTGTCTGAAATTCTTGAGTCCAGACATATTTCAGATTTCAGGGTTTTTTTTTTTTTTTAACTCATTTTTATTTTTTAAAAAAATATTTATTTTTTAGTTGTAGTTGGACACAATACCCTTATTTCACTTATTTATTTTTATGTGGTGCTGAGGATTGAACCCCAGGGTCCTGCATGTGCAAGGTGAGCACTCTACCGCTGAGCTACAACCCCAGCCCGATTTCAGAGTTTTTTGGATGTTGGAATATTTAAATATAATTTACTAGTTGAGCATCTCTATTCTGAAAATCTAAAAAACTTTTTGAGCCCTGACATGGCACTTAGAATGTTTCACTTTTGGGATTTTAGATTAGGAGTGTTTATCCTGTAAATCAAATTGTTTTCTAAAGTGGTTGTATCATATCGCACCAGCAGTATCTCAAGAGGTACTATTTACTTGTATCCTTTTCATCACATAGTGTTGACTTAAAAATTTTTGCCAGTCCCATGGGGAAAAACAATGTTCATTTTGGGTTGTAATTTGTATTTCTCCAATTATTAGCCTCCCTTCACTTCTTTATTGATCATTCACCTTTTTTGAGAATTGCTTTTTCATGTCTTTTTCCCATTTTTTATGTCCTTAAAACATTTGTAGGAGTTCTTTATATGTTTCAGTGTCTTTGTTAATCATGTGTGAAATGTATTTGTGACTTGTCTTTTTTACTCTTCTTCTGTTTTTTCCTCTTTGAGGCTTTTTTTTCTTTTTTGTACTGGGTCTTGAACCCAGGGATGCCACAGAGCTACATCCCCAGACTCTTTTATTTATTTATTTTTTTTTGAGACAAAGTTTTGCTAAGTTGTTGAGGCTGGTCTCAAACTTGTGATTCTCCTGCCTTAGCCTCCTGAGTTGCTGGGATTAAGGATTTTAATTTTTATCTCATTCTTTTTTGGTGTGCCTTTTCTAATATCTTTGTGTTCTCTCTCTCTCTCTCTCTCTCTCTCTCTCTTTTGTCAAAGAACCTTTATTTTATTTATTTATATGTGATGCTGAGAATTGAACCCAGTGCCTCACACATGCTAATAAGCAAGTGCTCTACCGATGAGCCACAACCCCAGCCCTGTTCTGTGTGTTTTGTTAAAGTTTGTTCTTTTTTTTTTTTTTAAAGAGAGAGTGAGAGAGGAGAGAGAGAGAGAGAGAATTTTTAAATATTATTTTTTAGTTCTCGGCGGACACAACATCTTTGCTGGTATGTGGTGCTGAGGATCGAACCCGGGCCGCACGCATGCCAGGCGAGCGCGCTACCGCTTGAGCCACATCCCCAGCCCAAGTTTGTTCTTAATATTATAATTGTAGTCCCTTTAAGTTTGTTTTTATATACCAATGAGGTAGAATTCTCATTTTGTTTTTATTTACTTTTTTCTCCTATGAATAATCAGATTGTTCCATCATCTTACATTAAGACATTTTATTTATTTAAATGCTAAATTAGTTTCAAGGATGAAATTTTTATTTATTTTTTTAGTTGTTGATAGACCTTTATTTTATTTATTTGTATGTGGTGCCGAGAATCGAACCCAGTGCCTCATACATACCAGGCAAGTGCGCTCCACTGAGCCATAGCCCCAGCCCGAAATTTTTATTATTACTGAAACTGAATATTTTTATTATCTCCCAGTGAATAGAGCCTTTTATTATGAAATACTCTGTAAATGCTTTTGCCTTCATGTCTATTTTGTTTGATACTATATGCACTAACAGTTCTGAACTGAAAATTTATAGCAAACCTAGAGTCATTGGAGGAGCTAGGTGATTCCTGTTGGACTATAATTCTAATCAAGAGTTTTACTTCTGGGCCAATCTAATCTTAAGGTTGTCCTTTGGGTCCTCAGCTTATTATAGAGAATCTTCTGTTTGACTCTGTACCTTCTGGGGACCGTGGACTTTTAGGAAGCTTTTGTTTAGTTTGATTTAAAAAAAAATCATTTTTTTAAATATTTATTCTTTTTTTAAAAATATTTATTTATTTTTTTTAGTTTTCGGCGGACACAACATCTTTGTTTGTATGTGGTGCTGAGGATCGAACCCGGGCCGCACGCATGAGCCAAATCCCCAGTCCAAAATATTTATTCTTAAGCTTTAGGTGGACACAATATCTTTATTTTACATTTATATGTAGGTGAGGATTGAACCTGGTGCCTTGTGCATGCTAGGCGAGCACTCTACCACTGAGCCACAACCCCAGCCCTTCATTCATCTTTTTTTAAAATATTTTTTTAGTTCTAGTTGGACACAATATCTTTATGTTATTTATTTATTTTTATGTGGTGCTGAGGATTGAACCCAGCACCTTGTACGTGCTAGACAAGCACTCTACTACTGAGTCACAACCCCAGCCCCTCATTGATCTTTCTATTTTATTTTTTTGGCTATTCTGGGAATCAGACACAGGACCTTGTTAATGCTAGGTAAGCTCTCTGCCACCAAGGAATACCCCCAGCCCTGAGCTTTTTATATTGTTTCCTGTGAAAGGATTGACCTGAAAAGCTAGCCTACCTTTCCTTTGAAACAGAAAGGCCTGTGATTAGGGTTTTTGAGGTTTTTTGTTGTTATTTATTTATTTATTTATTTTTAAAAATTAATTTTTTACATTTGAATCTGATGGGATACAATTTCTCATTTTTCTTAGTGTACAGGTTGAAGAATTACATTGGTCATGCAGTCACATTATACCCACAGCAATAATAATTTTTTTTAATTGTGATAAAACATATAAAACAAAAAATTTGCAGTTTTTTAAAAAATATTTTTAGTTGTAGATAAACACAATACCTTTATTTTATTTACTTATTTTTATGTGGTGCTAAGGATCGAACCCAGGGCCTCACACATGCTAGTCAAGTGCTCTACTGCTGAGCTACAACCTCAGCCCAAATTTGCAGTTTTAACCATGTTTAAGTGAACAGTTCAGTGGCATTAAGTACATTCACATGGTTATGACGTCATGAGTACTGTATATTTCTAGAAATTTTTCATCATCCCCCTCAGAAACTACAAATTGGTCAGTAGCTCCCCATTTCTTCTCTGTTCAACTCCTAACAATCACTATTCTACTTTTTGTCTCCAGGAGTTTGCCTATTCTAGCTTCCCCATATAAGTGAAATCATATATTTATATTTTTGCGATTGGCTTATTTCATTAACATAATGTTTTCAAGGTTCATCCATGTTGTAGCGTGTGTTAGAATTTCCTTTTTAAGACTGAATAATTCATTGTGTGTGTGTGTGTGTGTGTGTGTGCGCGTGCACACATACACTGCTTTGTTTATTCATCTGTTCATGGCATTTGTGTTACCACCTTTTTCAGTGTTGTGAAAAATGTGGCCTTGCATGTTGGTGTACTGGTAACTTCCTGTTTTCATTTCTTTGGGATATATACCTAGGAGTATATACTGCTGGATTATGGTATTTCTAATATTTAACTTTTTGAGGAATTGCCTGCTTGCCACAGCAACTGTACTATTGTACATGTCCATGTACATGTAATGCATAAAGTTTCTTAATTTCTCCATATTCTTGCCAATACTTATTTTCTGCCTTCATGTCTGTTTTGTTTGATACTATATGCACTAACAGTTCTGAACTGTTTTTTTTTTTAATAGCTACTGTAATGGGTGTAAAATGGTGTCTGATTGGTTTTTTAAGACTATTTCGCATTACTGATTTTGTCTTGTTGCTCTGTTAGAGAAATGTGTAAAAATTGCCATTATTATGATAGATTTGACATTTTCTCTTTGTAGTTAATCAATTTTTATTTATTTTGAGTCAATTTTTATAAGTTATGTCCAAGGTTTTAAATTTTGGTGAATAATTACCCTAGTGGATTTAAGTTTCGGTAAATCAAAGCATTACATAATAACATTCTGTTCTAGTTCTTTTTTCTGATACTAATATTCTGTGCCATCCTTCTTTGTTTATGGTTCTCTTCTATAGATTTTGTTATTCTCTTTTTCTTAGCATTTTGAAATAAACATTTTCACTTTCTAAATATCAATTTCTAATATTACAGTACTTTAATTACTGTGCCACAATTTCAGAAACCATTCCCCTTTTTGGATATTTTGATAGTTGTTTTTTTGTTTGTTTGTTTTTTGTTTTGGGTTTGTTCTTCATCAGCATCATCTACATATCTACATCCTTTGTGTATTTAGCTTTTTGTTGTTGGATATTTTTCACTTGGGTTAATTCTTGGAAGTAGGATCATTGGAGTTTTTGAGATATACACATTTTTCTTTTTCTTTGATGATGCTACCATATTTCTTTTCTTGGGGAATAGCACTTATTTCTAATATCAGCAGTATCCCTAGGCACCATTGCCCAATGGTATACTATCATTTTATGAGTTGTTAAGAAAAAAACTTCCAGTTAAACTGACATGATGCTTTGTTTTTGAAAATTTTCATTTTTTTCATATTTACTAGCATCTTTTAGGTGTTGTGGACATAGCTTTACTTATTTTTGTATTATTTCACTGTTAAATATACATTAAAAGGAAAAAATAAGCCAATTAAAATGATTAGAGTACTTCTAAAACTTCACATTCAACTTCTTCTAAATTGTTTTTAATTCAAAGTGGCATGTATTTTTTTCATACTGTATATCAAGTATGTTGGTGTGAAAGCATTCTTGAAAGGATTTGTCCAGAAACAATCATATGATCTTGATTATAAGAAGTATCTTGATTTTAGATGTGTTAAGATCAAAAAAATGCATCCTAGAATCCCCAAAATTGGATAGTTTTTATTATAATTTATCATGATGTATTATTAATGTTTTTCCCTAGCTCAATATGATATAAAATGTCATGTAACAATTTTTTCAGTTAGAGTTTTATTGTTAAAATGAAGCTGAACATTTTTTCATATCTGTAGGAGTATTTTATCAACTGTAAGATCTTTAGTATTTAATTAAAGGTGAGATTGTTTCTCAGTATACTACATTAATCACATTTTTCCTCAGAGGAGACTACTAGATGTAGAACAAACATGGCAAAATTACTTCATTTTTAGGAAATGTAGTATTGCTGTGGGCTAGGGCTGGGGCTGGGGCTCAGTGGTAGCACACTTGCCTGGCATGTGTGAGGCACTGGGTTTGATTCTCAGCACCACATATAAATAAAGAAAATAAAGGTCTAAAAACCCTTCACATTGGGGCTAGGGCTGGGGCTGGGGCTCAGTGGTAGAGTGCTTGCCTGGCATGTGAGAGGTACTGGGTTCGATCCCCAGTAC